AACGCTATTTTTTTAATTTAAGAAAAAAAGCAATAATGTTTCACAGTTGCATATTTTAACGTTAATAAATCGACACTAACGCAGGACTGACATTTTAAGGTTGCTATTGTGTTGAAATTTCCGNAATCGACACTAACGCAGGACTGACATTTTAAGGTTGCTATTGTGTTGAAATTTCCGTATATTTATCTTCTACAATAACATTAAGCTTTACAGCAGACTTAACAAATGGTTTAAAACGAGTACACTTAATATTTAGTTAATCAAGTTGAAAATAGTACTCGTTTGAAGACCAGCGTTGCCAGTTAGATTATTTCGGGGATCTAAATTTGTGGAGTTCCAAAATAGTAAAAATTTACTTCAGTAATTTTTTTTAATCAATGTTAATTTTATTTTTTGCTCTTTATTATTTAATTATTGACAATATTCAGTGTACTGTAATTATGGGCATACATTATTTGGTTGTGGTAAATGTCGAGTACCCTTTTGCAGTAAAAATTGCTGTAGTACTTACGTTTTTTGCCAATAGATTTCCGTAGGTCAGAAAAGTTGAAATGTCTGAAGGGTTCACTCGGAGTAATTGTCTGTAATACTTTTCAGCATCAGAGTCTCTATTAAGAGCTACTAATGAATCCGCTAATGCCATAATCATCATCTGAAAATGACCATTTTGTCAATTATAGTAGATATGTATACATTTTTGTGTCATTTTATGATTTCTGATAACACAATAACACCGTCTGTGGTGAAATAATGTTTTCTCCGTGAAACTTTTTGGGGTTAAGTGAGATTAAAATAGTTTTGTGGGATTTCAAAACAAGTTATCTACAGTTAAAGTAAAATTAAACAAAACTGCACCGAACAAATTACTTGCTAGCGCACCTCTAACGGACCTAGGGATTTGTGGATTAATAAAGTTTTTAAATCACATACACGTAATAACAAACGGTATTTTATGCAAATATCTTTTAGGATTTTATTAATTAAAATATTCATGTATTACATGAAAATTCATAATAACCTATATATTTTATAGATAAATTTAATACACTTTTAAGCTTATACAAAGAAAATAATTTTGTTATTAATAGGTTTACCTTTTTTTATTACCATCTCGAAATCATCAATTACACGAATTTGGCCATGTGTACATTACTCGGTAGTCTATTATTATTTTAATTACAGTTGGTTACTGTAGCTTTAATGATATTACAAATGAACATTTTACTAGATACTGTTAAACATGCACGTGGCGACTGATATCAATACACGTATATAATATGTGTCTGTACATAATATATTTTAGTTGACTCGTTCAATATAATATGCATTAAATACTTATTAAATAATTTAGGTTGACTATATTATTGATTGTATAATAGAGTAAAATTACAAAATAATATGCAATACGTATAAAAAAAAAGGGACATCGTTGCAAAGCAAGTTATTTAGGTTAAATAATTATTCACATATAGGTTTTTAAACTACGATTGACATTAGTTTATAAACCAGCTATTTCTTTGAAGACTCGTTAAATCGTTGAAAATGTTAAAAATCACGACGAATCGATCATTTTGAACATTAGAACGCGAATACTTACACTAATTTTATACGTTTTTTTGAACTTAATAATTTCTAGTATCTTATTTTACACACTTCCTGTGTGAAATGATGATTTTCAAAGACAGTGTTACTATAATTAAAAGCAACGTTCAATTAATATTGTTTCGAGTATTTATCATTAAGGTCAATTTAGTTTTGTTATAAACAAATGGACTTTAAATGTCGCGTGTGTTTAAACTGAGCGAATAGGTTGTGTCAAACAATATTGATTAGTCTTTATACTCGAATCTAATTTCAAACAAACGTGTCCTGTTTTAGTAAGATTAAATTGCCAACATCCGAAGAAATAAGTATTTACACGTATAAATCACACTCGTCTGTAAACAACAAATTTCATTCAATGGCTCCACATTCATCACCCAAACATATGTATAGTACTGAAAACATAGTTTTGTAATAAACTTAGAGCATATTGTTATGCTGCCAAGTAGACAAGTTTAATTGACTTTGGTTCAAAAGTGAAAGCATACATAAGTAAACTATTTTAACTCTTCTCAAAGTTTGATTGAAGAGTCGTCTTTTGGATAGGTTTACTAATTGTTATCGAAACGTGGAATTAAAAAAGATCAAATTTGTAGAATTAGATATTATTTTTAATTGAACGTCATTGAATAACGTTTACTATTATTCGATCTATTTTGTTCACAAAACGAAAAAACGATAAAAAAATAATTTTTCGTATTGTATTATTTTATTCTTACATTTTTCTTTACAAAATTAGTGTTATTATTTAAAATATTTAATTTAATTAGTACAAAGCTGTACTAATTAAACAATCAAAGTAGTTTCAACGTCGAACATTATTATTCATCCAAAGCAGTATAATTTAATTCTGTCGCCTAAAATGAGAGTATATGTAAAAGTTATAATAAGTTTTACTTTGATTACAAATACAAAAGAACATTGTAATGTGTTGAATTTAAGACGTGTACGTGGGTTATAAAATTTCAAAAGAGTTTCTTCACACTTGTGAAATATTTTGTGCTGCTATTCCGAGTTGACAACGATTCATTGTTTTCAACATACACACGTGTATAATAAGTTAGAGGTGCTCGAGCATAAGTTTTGATCTGTCCACAGTGCCAAAAGAAAAAAAAATAAAAACACTTGCCTACCATTGTTTTCAGGGTGAACTTTCGAGACGGTCATTGTATGGAAACTCAATGACGCTCTTAACATCCACTTGGCCTTGTTTTCCGGAACAAGCGGAGTGAGAGAAAAATGTTTTGATTAATTACTGTAACTTGCAAGCTTTTGTTAGACGTCTTTATTAAAAATCCTCGGGATATTGTTGTCCAAAAACTTCAGGGGTAGAAGCGTTTTTTTTTTTTAGTTATTAATAAAAACAACGGTTAAAAAAGAAAGTAATTCCAAAGAAAAAGAAAGAAGAAAGACGCCTCTTTCTAATGAACACAAACAAAACGAGTTAGAGGTGTCATTAAAGCGCGTTTAAAAGAATTGCCTTAACCTCGGCTGGTCTCAATAGAAATGTAAAAATACAAAAGGTTCATTCACATAATTAATTTGATTCCTAGTAATTTACTAACATTTATATACCTATTATAATTTAGAGAAAAGCTGGTAGTGACATCCTTTATAAATAGAATCAATTACATTATTCTTTATTTAATTTTTAGTAAAAAGTCAAAAATTATGGAAAGTTCTTTTTACTTTTTATTTATAAAATATTCCAAGTATTAGACATTTTATAGAAATTTATCTTGAATTAATTTCATGCTAACTACTCATTATTATTATTTCCTAGGCAATAATATCCGTCAATGTAGTAATATTGCCTATGTAAAACTCCGTCCATACAAGTATGTCTTAAATAAATATTAAATATAAAAATTTTATATTTTTAATAATACGTATTGGCTTAAAAACACTATTTACTCAAATAATATAAATTAACAATGAAAAGTTGGTATTATTTATTTTTGTGTATTGAAAAGGTGAAAGTATTAATTTTATACATTGTTATGTTTAGTCATTGATTAATTTTTTTTTTTTGATATTAATCAATTATAAAACATAATCATTTTCTCTTTATATTGTTTATAAATAGTCGAAAACCGTTATTATTTTATTTTTATATCTCTAAAGATTGAATTTAAATTAAAAATAAATATTTGTTGTCAAAGTTGAAACCGTTTCGATGAAAAAAAAACATTTTACTCGGTCGGTATTTATTTTGTTAGTGATGAAAAGAGAGTTGTTCTATAAAACCGGTCGATTTTATTTTTCTTTAGAAGAGTTGTAGGCCGGTATTCTTTTGAAATACACGGAATAAAAAAAACGTGCCTGACCATTATTGATTATTTTTTTAAATACATTTTTGGAATACTTGTAATTTGATCAGATGAGATTCTTTAGTTCACTTACCAATACACATTTTATTTAAAAGATATTTAACAATATTTTTTATTGACATTTCATAAAACCGTTTTTTTTTATCAAATTGCGTGGTATTCTTCAACTTAACGTCTAACTTTTCTTTAGTAATAACAAAAGTATATAGAACGTGTACTATTTTTGGGATTTGGAGGTCAATAGACAATAAGGGACATAGAAATTAAGGGCAGACTTTCAATATAACATCTTTCGAACGCTGGATTTCTATTGAATTGAAAACCACTACCCGTGACGATCGTGTCACCAATGTCGTTGAATGAAAGCAATCGGATTAGCCCTTACTGGCACACAAGCACATGAAATGCAACTCAACCACACGGTGCTGACTACAACAGTCGTCTTTTAGATTTTCAATAGTGTATCTTCCCTTCTTTACACACATCGAAACATGAATAGACACATCATTTTGATCCCTGAACCTCCCCGCCCTCGCTCTCTGCCCATTTCATGCAATTTGTTGCCTTCTCTCTTTCTCTTAAAATAATGTGGTTTCAATATAAGCACACTGATCACTTCCGCTATTGAACGTGTGTGAGTAATAGTAAATACGTATATGGTAAATATATATGTATGCAGGGTTCATAAATTATTCGATCTTTTCTTTATGTCCTTTAGGTAAACCTAAGGGGTTTTATCTCTCTGCGATGGTTTTTCAAAGTCTCAGACAGTATCTTCAATGGTTTTCTAATCCTAAGCACAGCAAAGGTCTTTTTTTTTTTTTTTCAATATCGTCTCTTGACACTACTGAAAAAAACCTAGTAATACACAACAGTAGCTCCATTTTTTATTTTTTATACTAACACTATGTAGAACACTTTGAGAAGGGCAATATGGTGGGACTTTTTAAAGGTAGATTGAATAGTTGATCAAAAGGTGTGCGCGAAATTTGATCGAACGATGTAGGGGCCCCAAGTGTAATAAAACTATTTTAAAAATAACGTTCGTGTTTCAGTATATAAAAAGAAATAAAATCTCATTTTGAGGCTTATTTCTAATAATATGTAAAATTAAGCTTAGAAATAAATACATGGAAAATTTAAATTAAATTATACAATAATTGTGCGATCATAGAAAATATTTGTGTGTCAAATTGTCTTTTTATAAACAATAACTGTTTATATTTTTCCTAGTGAAATGTTCACTACCTAATTTAATTAATTTACACTATTAATGAAATCATAATGTATTTTTCAAAAGACGTTTATTTATTGTCAACTTGGGTAATATATAAAATTTTAAGTACTAATTAATATTTAATAAAAATGGTGGTGTATAATTACTTATTAATGTATAAAAGTGTTAATAAAATTCTGATTAAATTTCAATTTAGGTAAGACTACTTCTGAAATAAATTTCACATAACCGAAATACCCCATGAGTTTATTTTTAAAAAATAAATGATTAAAAACGGTCTGGATACGGTTTTGGTAAGTGTATTAAAAGAACTTTTGCGGAACTTTCAGTGGTTTTGAGAAAAAAATGTAGATATTATTATATTTTCTTTCTCAGTTTTCATTTTCCTAATAACTCTTCAGTCACTCGGGACCGCCGTGAAATTTAAGGCCTCCGCTGTAACAATAATAACGCAAAGTGTATATTATCATCTCGCCGAGACGAAGACGCGACGGCGTGTGGAGGTGGCGGTCAACATACTGGAAGTTAAGACTGAGGAAGAGTAGGAGGTATAATGTCTATATATATATGTATACTTGAGAGAGGGAGTGTGTGTGTGTGTTTGGAGGAATTATATTAATAACTGTTTGCTGACTTCGGGTTCTGTACCAATATAAATTAAAAGTCTGTCTGCTGTACATGAGCGCCAGAGAAATGTACGAGCGCATACCCATTTGAGAAATCGCTACGGCGTGTAATGAGAATTCGTCAACGGATCTCGTCTTTCTTCTGTTATTGTGTGTGATGTCTAGTCAACCGAGACTTCAAAATGCTGGGACATTTATTGCGTTTCAGAAACCCTTTTAAATAAGAAATAAAATATTCCCCGTACGCGGTGCAATAACTGGCTTTTTAAGTCATTTTACTCAGACTCTAATTTCTACCGCAATACAAGAAAAACGAATCCTTTTGAAAGTAACACTTTCATATTCTTCACTTTCGAGAGTAATATTTTATAAGAATATGCTGTAGAGAAATATCGATTCATATATGAATGTTCAAATTATATGAGAATCAACTCGTAATTTTGTTTAACTATAAATAATTAATTAATTACCTGCGAGGAAGTTTTGTCAGTCTTCATAGCCGATTCGAACAAGGCAACCGCGTCTCGATGTCTACCCAACGACGCAAACAGTCTTCCTAACCTCAAAACACAAGACTTTTGTGCCTTCAAGTGTGTCTTTATATCTTTTACCGAAGAACCATCAAGCAACAAGCATTTGTTAAGAATATTTTCAGCTTCGGTTGTTTTGCCAGTAAGGGCCAAACAATCTCCCAAGCTAAGATAAGCAACTGCAAGAGAAAATAATTTAAACAACTTTTTAGTTATTTTATAGTATATTACCAACACAATTTGTTCAGAATCGGAATTGAAATTTAGTGAATGACGTTCATACATTATTTTAACGTTGGCTATTGAAATAACAATTTTTTACGGGGTTTGGGTTCGTACTCAATGCGGTTGTACAAAATATATGTTTAATAACATTTTTTTAGGTTCAATTTGATATAAAAAATTAGAGATTGTCACTAATTTACTACTTACGTGCTAGAGTAGGTCTAAAATTAATCGCCGATTGGTAACTAATTATTGCTTCTTCGTACTTTTGATTATTTCTCAATAAATTTCCCCTTAAAAAAAAATTAACTGATGACAAAACCATTTACTTTTAAAAATGTGTAGTTGTGATTTTAAAATATTCAATTTTCTAATATAAAAAAGAAAATTACTGTAATCAAATATTTATATTTATTTATAATTATTATAATTTTTGTTGTGTACAAAAACCCGATCTTGTTTTTTCCTTTTTAATAAAGTTATTTTTAATCGTTTGGTAGTGAAAATATATCACTATTTTAATTAACTTAAAGAATATTCATTTCTCAGTACTATAATATTTCAATAATGTTAGCATCCAATGTTCTACGTTTTTTAATCAAGTGGAAGAAAAAAGTATAAAACTGTGCTTATTAACGTACCAGACAGAAATTTATTATAAAAAATGAGGTATGATAAAAGAAATATTAACTCAACTTGCACTTATTTGTATTTGTTTATTTTATTTTCAAGGAGTTTTCTTTATTAATCAGATAAGAAAAAAAAAATTTAAAGATATTATTAAATTTTCTTTTTTATCGCAAAGTTAAATATAACATAGAAAAGTTTGCTAGATGATAATATCCAGAAAAAACAATACTCGAGAAGTTAGTTTTATTATTTTAACAATGTATTCAATGTGCTCAATGAAGTATGCATTTCAAGAATACATCCAGAGGATTTCTTTTCTGTGTAAAATGCGTTGAACACACGAGTGCTTTCTATTTTTGTTTTGATTGGAACGTAATGTAGTTTTACTAACCTTTCCGAGCTTTTTTTTTTTTTTTTTTGATAATATTATACTCGTAATGAATTGAAAATAACGTCTTCACAATTATCTATGCATAATTAAAACTATATAATTATAGAGATTAAAATCCAATTTATTCTAAAAAAATATGTTCAAAACAACTATTGAGGTTTAATAATGTATAATAAAATAAAATTAATAAGTGAAAAAATGTCCTAACATAAATAGTTCATTTAACTAAACTAAACATTTAACTAAAGAAACAAATAGTATTAAAAACAATTAAATAAAAATTCAATTTTTATTTTAAGTATATTTTATATAGAAATTATAATTACACTTGAAGTGCGTTTTCTCGATTGCTTACACAAAATGTTATCTCTTTTTATTGTTCGGGAGAAATCAAAAATAAATAAATAGTGCTCATTCATTTCTTCAAACGTGTTCTTTAGTCAAAAATATTTCAGGAAATTATTTTACTGTTATATTCTTTTTTTTTTTAATGAATTCCGTTTTTCGAACTTTGATGTTATCAAAGTTGTACTATAAAGTTGTATGCTCATTTTGAGTAAATAAATGCCAGTTCACAGCTTTACACGTGTATTAAAATTTAATTTCTGCGAATTGTTTTCCTTTAATTTTTTTATGGAGACACATTTGTATATTATTAAAGGAAAAATTCATTTTTTTACTAATAATGGTTTCTATAAATCATTATAAAATTATGTACAATTGTGATTTTTGTGTAGACCATAATTAATGTTTGAAAATTATTTGGAAAAAATACATCATTCTTTTTAATATTACAGTAGTAGAGAATATGTTCCGAGTATAATCTTAAAAGTTTTAAACTTTGCTACTAGTGAATAAANTACAGTAGTAGAGAATATGTTCCGAGTATAATCTTAAAAGTTTTAAACTTTACTACTAGTGAATAGAATGGGAATATTTGTGAAAATAAAAATAACACGAAACAAAATATAAGAATATACTAAAAAACAATTGAAACGAATTACTACATTAATTAAAAGGATTATAATGCAAAAAGTTTAAAAAAAAAATCTTAAATTTATTAGTAAGTTTAAATACACACAAAACTACCAACGTAAATTTAAATTTGTAAATCTTCTATGAAACAAAAGATAAAGATAGAAAACGTATTTTATTCAAACTGTATACATATAAAAAATGCTCATTAGTCAAATAATAAGAAAAATTAATTTAGTTTTATGTGATCTAGTTAACTTGTATTTAATTATTGTTATAAATATACAATTATAAAGAAAAATATTCCCTGTCAATGATGTTTTTATGAAATATAATTTCCGCGAATAGAAAGAACTAATTAATTGTATACCTTTTTTTTCATTTGTAGAGTTAAAGTTCGATTCTTTTTAAAAAAGTTCAAATTTATTACGTTTGCGTGAATTTTATTTATTGTGTTTCTGAAAATATGCAAAGAAACTCTAATTTATTACTAATAAGGTTTTGTGCATATTGGAATAGAAAATGATTTTTCTTAAAGGTCAGTGAATATAATACACTTAAATAAATAAGTTTTGTTTATTATTTTCATTTTACTCTTGACATAACACCTCGTTCTGTGATAAATCTATCAGGCACATTTTTTCTTTAAGTATATCATTCAATTTCCTGGTTAAAATTGCTTGTTCGCGTATAATCATTTGTTATTTTTACTTGGAGAGACATATGGTACTAGCATTGCACGAGGCAGATTGATATAAAGAAGACTAGACTCGAGAGTATGTTTTATTTGACCCTTTCTCAAGTCTTTATAAAAGTATATTTTCTGAACTACAAAAACAGAATTTTGTGCTTTTCTTAGGTGCTTTTGACAGCATTAAGTACTTATTTTATGGTTTAAGTAATATGAAAACATTTACTCAAAAGCTGTACTTATTTTAACTTGGGACAAAAATAAATATAGTTGTTACATAATCAATTATCATTTTTACAGTTGAAAAAAATATCGGTTTATTTATATTTAGCGGTAATAAAATCAAATGATAGTGAATGTGGCGAATAAAATTAAATTTCAACGGCTTAAAGATGTTAAGTGTTGACACTCGGCGATAATTTTCGACGAGTAATTAAACTGTATTGTTACGTGGAGCAGTTGGATTTGAGTCACTTTTAATTATTATATTAGTTGTGACAGGTTGGTACAAAAAGCCGTTAAAGTACTTACAATGAATGTTTTTTTTTATTATTTTAACGGTATTTATTCAAGTTAGTAAGTATATAAATTTCTAGAATTTATTTAATTTAAAAAACTAATCAACGGTAACGATTGATTGAATATTTCGATTAATATTAAATGTTCAATATGATAAAATTAAAATTCTTAGAAAAATAACTGTTTTTGAAACGTCCGTTCATTCTATTGCTTAATTGCCTTTTTGTTCTTAAATGTTGGAAAACAATCGCAAAGTTCTGAATTGGCGGAATGGTTATTTTTTCGCAACTGTTGCGGTTACGACCAATGTTTGTGTGTGTGTGTGTGTGTTAACGTCGACCGAGTTTCATCAGAGTTTAACTTGAAAATGACGGCCGTCACTTGCAACTGTAAATAAAATTTTTCACCTCCGAGTTAACGCAAAGTCACGGCGCAGTAGTTGAAATTGCAATTATGAGGCTAACTTGAACGCCTTTCCGCAGTACAAACCGTCATAAACTACCCCCGGCCGCCCCGTCGTCTTCCAAGTTCAAAGCCGTGCACGTGACACGTACGTGTGCAATTTATACACAACACGTACATTCGCATTAGCCGCACACTATCTCGAACTTTTTGTAGTAACAAACGAGAAAATTAATTTTTGTCCATTTCTTACGCTAGCGTAATGTGCGCCGCACACAAACTGCTCCGAGAACTGTACACGGGCAATTTAACGTGTAACGGGTCGCCTGGTTTTTTGTCGGCCGTCGCTATGTAAATATTAATGCGAACGTATTAAAATGTGCGTGGAGAGTGCCGAAATAGCAGTAAATCATTTCGAATTTCCGACTCGTCGCATCCCAAACTTTCATAAGATTTAAAATCTCATACGTTCGACAACGTTACGTTTGGGTGTTGTGGTCGCGGCTAAATCAAAAACATCCATTTTTATTCGATTCAAACACTCGAGTAGTGTAATTGATAGATGAAAACAACATCGACACATCAATAAAATACTATCGAAAGTACAGTTCTGGTTGGCGATTGAATGAATACAGTGGCGAGACGTCAAACAGTCACCTCGGAGACTGAATTAAACGTATTATTCACTGGGTATACACAGCCTATTGTAATATAAATTTGCTATGAATATCAAACGAATATTTCTCCTATGGAATCGATAGTCTATTATTAAAGTAATTTCCAATTACTAATTAATACGTTAATTTCCAGCGAAATATTCTATGATGTGCGTTCTCATTAATTATTAACAAACGTTTGCACTGTTAACAGGATTGTTTCACAAACAAAATACATAATTTATTGGGCGCCGAAAAAAATAACTCGTCAAAAGTACACGAGGGAGTTGACAATAATGAGTTTTATTAAAAATCGACAGTGCCGATAAAAGAACATATTTCCCGTACTAAACGCGAACCGTTTTAATCGAAAACGGAAGGGCAGTTTAGGCGCACAACATAACCGTTTGTAATTGCGCATTTATCGCATTGACATTTGCACTGATAGATCGTTTAGTAGACCGTGAAAAAAAGAAACTAAAGGGCGCGGGCCTTTGGAATTGCGGGTGAAGTTTAAGCAAAGGAACATCGGCGCAGGAGGCACGTCTAATTTATGGCGACCTGTTGTCCGAGAAATGTGCGCTATTACCGTTTGCTCGGAGGCATTCCGCCGCCAAACGATTACCCGGTGCACATGCCGTGGCATTTAACACGGCCATTTAACAAGAATTAATATCCTTTTAACCCTTCGTAACCGCCAGAACACGTAATACTGCCGTCATATACCTTAAACGATAAATCGTCACCCTCCCTCCCCTCACATCAGCAAAAAATAATCAAGTGAGCTCAATTCAAAAGCCACGCGTGACGACTCCGATAAACCGACCGAGGTCCAGTTTCGTTCACTTTTTAGAAATTTTCATTTAATGGTCTAAATAAAAAAAAAATAGAAATTATGGAAAACAGCGTAAATTGAATTTGATCTGTATAAATAATGATTATTAATTTGTTTGCCGTTTTATTGTTTCAACTTTCTTTTAAAACCAACACTTGTTTATGAATGTCTTTTGAAATGAAAATAAACATCAAGTGGCTTGCCATAAAAACAATATTGATGTACTCTCCAGAAAGTATTGTCATGAAAAGGGTCTTTACGTTTCTTTAGGTGGTAGTTCTCAATGGTTTTAAACTTGTGTTTTTTTATTTAATAAAACAAAATATAATATCAACGGAGATTTTGTAAATGTCCCGTGCAATCGTTTACAATTGAACCACTAAAATTACTTAAATTTAACTATTATTAGTATTTCATAATGTATATTTAAGTATTTGCACGCTTTCAGTTAGCTAATTATAATACCAAGTTAAGATTAAAAAAAGGTTATTTCGATAATAATTAATTCATGTCGAAAAAAACTACGTTTTTGATTTTTCACCAAAAGTGAGTACTTCGCGTTATAAAATAATTGAATCCATTTTTAAATTTGTAATGAAACGGTCATTGTGTTTGGCGGGTTTTTGATTGTAAAAAGGAAATAAGATAAATCGTTAAAGTCTTTGTTAGAACGTGACGATCTAAAAGCGAAAAAATAGTATTTTTAAAAATTAATTTGTATCACAAAATTCCGTTTAGATTACCTTGGGAACCGACTAGTTTTTTTTAAAATTAAAATAAATCTAACTTGGACGATTCTTAAAAAATAAGTTGAAGTTATTAGAAATTTATATTGTTCTTTAAATGTAGTTCAATTAAGCATTCAATCGTTTCTATTATTATGATCATTGAATTTAGTTTTTAATTACTTAAAAATTGATCGGAAGTAATTATTTTGTACTCTAAGCACATGATTTTTCTTCATTGTATAGAACAGAAAAACGTATTAATAATGTCTTTAATTTTTTCATTTACGATGATGTTCATACAATGACATTAATATTCCATTGTACTTAAATGTTGTTGGATTCATTTCACTGAAGAAGACGCCGATTCAATGTCGCTTTTAAACAAAATTAAATATCCAAGTGGCTTCAATGTTAAAAAAAGTTACTTTCGGTAAGATTATTAAAAATATCACCGTCAGCATTGTATAAGAACAGAAACGAAAGGAAGTGGACGTAATGAAGATAGAAGAGTTTGTTAAATTGTGAATATTTCATTTGACAAGTCTAATTCGTAAGGGCACACGAATTTATGAGAATTAATCGATTTACTAGTTCAGACTAAACATTTTAATAGAAATGATCTTTTCGGCGAAGTAATTATAAATTTATGTTTCTTTCAAAAGTTTTTTCCGTAGCTCGAGCTAATTATTTTGTTTTTATTTATTCATAGCTACGGATAGGAACTCAATTATTTATCTATTGTTATTCGTACAATATTACTTAACTAACTAATTCCATAAGAAGTCTATAACAAAAAAAGCTATTCGATATGACAGCGAATAGAGAATACATAATTAAGCGACTATGAATTGGGGAACTGATAAAACGCCTTGAATTCAGTACAAAGGTCGCATGTTATTAAATATGAATGTGAAAATCAAACGATTCGTAAATATTTCAACTGTATTAAAATAAAACACTCGTACTCGGATACATTTGACGATTTAGACGGTTTATTAAATTTTAATGGTATCTGGTGAAATGTTAATTTAAATACGCCGACGGAATCTTTGAAATAAACTCAATAGGCCAAAGTTCGTCATTGTTGGTGCGTAATGGCGTCGGAATAAAGTCGGGCAATAAAAAAACGCTTTATCAGTCCGTGAACGTGGAATGTGTGCGACACACCACAAGCTCTACACACCACCGCACGCACCAGTTGCTTCAGCTTATACAACGTGAGAAAATCGGCATATGGTCCACCCGGTTCATTAATCTTTCGTTTTATCCCATCTCGTGTTTACACTCTCATCCGGCGCCCTTTGTGCTCCTTTCCTCGGCGCGCCTTTCACCGAAACCCAACCCGCGACGAGACCCGCTTTTTTATTACTATTTTTTAAACCCGACGTCGTCCGCGACACGTCTTCTGCACACCGCCAGCGAAACGTGTACTCCGAACTCTCGAAAATGATACTCCGAACGAAATGTCGTGTCGTATCTACACGTTTGTGACAATTCGAAAGTCAACAGAGCCGTCGGGAGGTGGTCGCGAATTTTCAGTTGGTGTGACGCTTTTGTCAGGTCACGAACTCCGTTTTCCGACAATACATTTGACATTACGAACGCTTTTCACGAATTGAAATAGAACGGAAAAATAACTTTTTATTGTTATTTGTTCGGCGGGCGAATTCCGCGCGCAAACTACGACCTTTCATAAATTAATTAATCATCCCGAGCTTTTCATCAACTCGGTATTGTCATTTGGACTCTAGTTTTTTCGCAGACATTATTGGACGGCATAAAATCATCAGCGTCTACAGCGAACCGATTTTGTTTTCTAAGTAAAAGGGCTCGCACATTAACAACAACATTAGGAACGTTGTTCTAATAATATATTCGCCGTTTTTTTACTACCCTAAAACATGCATTTCGGTTACGACGGTTCACGTGGAATTATCTATAGTTTATTCGATGGTCTACACGATTTTATGCGAACAAAGAATTAACTTAAACGGCCAGTTAACATAGGAAATCGTTTAACGATGATTAAAAACAAAGTGTTGGCAAATACTGTGCAACGCGATAAAGCTGAAATTTATTACTCGTATCGTGTGTAGCACACACTTAATGTGCTTTTATTTATACGAAACTAATTCATTAGCTCTTGTTGAAATAAACGAATGACCCGCTTTTGTTTCATAACGTCGTATCAATTATTAAGAGCGATTTTAGCGAAAGCCATCGGTCGATGTTCTTAGAGCTCATTAAAATTATATTGGATACAAAAATCCACGAGTTTCGAACACAAAGACCATTAATTAATGACCGTTTTCAGTTATTATTCTCAACTATCGAAAGTTTTCCCAATGTTTAATTTATTACAAAAAAAAACTTTTTCCGCTCGTTTTATGAAAACGAGTTTTTGTTATTTTTATTATATCTCTCTGATAAATGCCCGAAAAAACATTTGAAAACGTCCAATTTACAGTGTCCCGCGATTTATAGTAATTCAAATGGTTTTCAATACCGATAAATTTATGGAAATTTTACTAAAGCCATACGAGTTGGCCAATCGCAAAGTTTTTCTATATTTGTGTCACGTTAAACTATTAGAATTTTTTAATTAAAAACAAAAAAGTTTTACAAAAGTTTTTTCGACGGACATGAAACTGAAAGTCGTGTGCGTATGTAATACGTGCGTTGGATTCGATCGCCAGTTCGGCCGGGGCGATATTCGATCCTAATTTTATGTGCTTCTTTTTTATGTCCGTCGTGTCCCTAGGTTATTGCTTGGTGACATCTGGATAGCTCTACACTGTCGACTATAAACGATTCCCTTTTTCACATATTGCTTTCTCAATCACAACTAAACGGTGCGGCGGTAGACTAATATACGAACAGCGGCATTTGTTCCGAATCGGTGAACTTATCTGCGGTTGCGGACGTGCAGCATCCAACACTGTTGCAATGATCAGCCAATATAGAAGAATAAAAGAAATCTATCTGACATTTGTTGGTTATTAGGAAACAACGTCCTGATCAATAACTGCACGGCCGTTTTTAGAAAGCGGTTGTCGCAATATATTCCGAAACGACGGGTAGCAAGTCGAGTTTTCTAAAAAAAAAGTCACTCCGGTCCACAGTGAATTAAAATTGTCCCGACATACCGTGATCCCGTTGGAAGTGTTTTAGAAAAATGTCAGATAAAAACCTAGACGAGTTTAAAACAATAGTTAAATAGCGAAGAAACAATAGGTGTTGGGTAAATACGTTTCGTTCGTTCGATTGTTTATCATATTGAACGTATTGAAAAACGGCGATGCTTTATTGTATTTTGAGCGTGGACTCGAATTGATTCACATTATACTCGCTGGGTTTGTCTGGATAAAAAACGAGTATAAATAAAACTGTAATACCTAAACTTCTGATGTCTGTATATATGACACACCACTGGTGCGCGTTCGGGCCGGGTACGGGTAAGAAACCCATCAAGTTTTGGACAGCGTAAGCTCCTTGGGCGTGTTGTTAAATTGTATTTTCTACGGTATATCAATTTATTGTTCCGTTTCGTTGACAAAGAATAACACCGAGATATGTGTTTTTTTTACAGAACCCCAATAAAGACGGAAAGTAACGTATGGACGCCAAGNAGACAGAAAGTAACGTATGGACGCGAAACTCGGCTCTCTCGAAAGTACATTACGGCGAAATACTTTACGGGAGAAATAAATTAAGAATAACAAACACGGGCATCGGATATAATAAAAAGAAAACATTGGCTTCGAACCGTGTTTACCGTATTTATCATTTATTTATTTAGCGGTTTGAAAACATATCGAAAATAATTGATGTTTGTTGAAATCGGCAGAACCGATCGAGTTTCCCCAGAAATGACGTACAAAAACAATCCGACGGATTACAATAGAATTACACATTTTGTATACTCACAAATTATAATGGACGTCTGCCATGTTCGGACGGTGTTTGAGTGCTGATCGATATGCGATTTCTGCCTCGTTCGTTCTGCCCTGGGAGCTGAGTATTGAACCGAGATTGCCGTAAGCTGAAATCCAATCAATGGTTAGGCCGAGCAAAGAAAAACAAAAGCAACGACCACATCTATCCAGTTTGATTAAATTAAAACTGACGAACGATACTGTGCCGGCGGCTGATTGACGGCACAACGGAACGCGAAATTAAAAACGCCGTGCAGCTTGCAAAATTAATACACAGCCAACGTTCTGACATATTCTAAGTATTAAAAAAAAAGTCTTCTCGCTAATACGACCTGTCCGTCAAGAAACGCATTACTTTTGTTATTCACCAAAACAACCGAAAGCGTATGAAATATGCATTACAGTGTTTTTAATAATTTTCCATAAAACGCCACAGCGTTTTCAAGGATTTACATTAATTTGCGTAATCACTAAAAATAGAATCCTGTAACTGGTTAGTACCACGTTGGAAATTTATAAAAACGTCGTACCAGGAACTCATGAGGTAACATCGTTAATATTTCACACTGATTTCGTAACAAACATGAAAATCTACCACCAGGTATCTATGAGGTTTTATGTTTTCGGTGTAGCAAAAAGGTGTTGGGCGGCTAGTTGCTGTCGTTTTATTATAAAGCTGTGTAGTTGAGTGTCCACTGGGCTTCTACGGCTAAATGACTTTACAAGTGTCGTTGGGACGCGCGACTGCACCGCAACGATGGGTCGTTCGTAAAATAAAATGTACACCATTGTACGGGACGAGTCGCACCGATTAATTGCCGGCACGGGTTACGTCGATTAGTCGCTGCACCGAACCGCGGTATGGATAACGCACTTTTACATTAATTTCGCGACGAGGTCACAATGTATCAATAGCAGCGCACCACGACAGCAACGACTGACATACTGATGATGTTTGTAGTCGTGTCATATAAAATTGCGAGTATTTATTTACATTGAAATTTCGTACCAGGAATTTATGTGGTATCGCGTGACGAGTTCAGATGTCCACCGTCTCGCTAACAATTTCGAGTGGCCACCAACATTGTTCTATATGGCCGTCTGAATAATGATGTTACATGTTAATGATTCTCATGAGTTCCTGGTACTAAAATTTTTTGTTTTATCTTAAAATCCGCGTCGTTAAGAAGTCTTATGGCGATTTTACATAACACATTAATTGCTATTTTCATAAAATTATCGTGTTGTTTAGCTGAATTAAAGCAAACTACAGTAATGAACATCGTACGAAAATGAAATTTATTTGAAACGGGTAATTTTTTTATGGGAATTTTTCACCCTTCCCCAGTAGTGTATTCTGAAAAACCTCTATTTTTATTTTAGGACATATGTAAACGTTAATTATGCTGATTTGTAAACGTTATCATTCAATGTGAATAGTATACAAGTATTATTTGTCTAGGATATAAGTTAGTTAAATTGTTAGTCGGTATACGCCAAATACCCTTCAAAATACCCCTACCATTGCCATAAGTGCGTCATTAATCTAACAATTATAAAAATACGGTAATCAATTCCGCCAATCTAAACTATTTATAAAGTACTGAATTCTGTTCTGCCAATTAGTAATATTTGTCATGTAAAATTTGTGTTTGTATTCGGTAAAAATATTAAAATTGACTGCATAATGGAGGAATTCATTTGAAATAAATAACTTTTCACTAAAAATGATAGTGTCTACTTAAATATCGAGTGGTAAAAGTATATAAATAAAAATGGCTAGATTTTTTAGTACGAACTTTTTAATTCAAATAAACATTTAATAATCTTTTGTCAAAGACTATGTTTTCGATGAAGTAATCATATTAAATTTAGCAAATTAAACGCATTGAAGCGATAACATTTGTTTTGCGTGTATATAATGTAAACGATGAACATTTAACAATTTGTAGGAAGCTCACAAATTTATAGAAATACGTATGAACATGGCGTGGAATGTAATTTAAATACATTAGTTTTGTTTTAGGGTTGTATCAATAAACAAGTATAAGTTAACAAGCGTATAAGAAAACAAATAGCGTTAACTTGAATTTACATTCTTATGGAACTTTTACAAAGGGATCATTGACGTAAAATCGAAAATTACAGTTTTTTCGTTAATTATAAACGTAAGTAGAATCTCTAATGAAGGAAAAGTATAAACTAATAACTTCAACACATATAATAATGTTTTTTTTTTTTAAATTATACATTTGAGGTTTTTATTCAATTTGAGAATCCAAACAATTTTTTATAATTACGCGCTATTGCGATCTATTGCTAAAGTTAGTTAACTTCAACAAAAGAATATTAAACATAATGACTCATTTTGAAACAAGTATACATTTTAGTAAAAGAGGATGTTGCTTTGATATAAATTTAATTGAATAAATTAATGATTAAAACAGAATTGTATTTATGATAATTTATTCTTGAATCAATGCATTTTTAAACGCCTAAATACTATCAAAGTTTTCAACAAAAACATAATTATGTTGATGAAATATTCACGAGATCAAAGTGAAAAAGTTTTACGAAATAATGTAATGTTTTTTGATTGGATTAATTTTTTTCTCGTGAAAACTGTCAGTATATAACATCACTGCATTTACCGGCAATTATGATCAATGCATTTTTACAACGATAAATAACCAAAAAAATAGCGAGTGAAATTGAAATATTCAAGTTTCTAGAAACTGATGAATTGTTTCAGATTTATGAAGCAATTGATGTATATTATTAAAAAATGGATTTTTCACTATACTGGAAGAAATTCAAGTCGTTGTTTTGCGGACAGAATACTTGTAGCATAATGTTTATACTCACATTTGGGCGGATTCACTTGAATTCCTGATCTGTATAGAGTCTCATCGCTGTGCCAGACTCGGTTCCTGAGTATTGTGCGAACACTAAACCCGAGTACCATTGAAGCATAAAGAGCGTAGACGATTGCGTTCGTCACTTTACAACCTTTGCTTCTCAGCTTGTTGGACAAAACGGTGGCCGAATAACCGACGAGTAAACAGTAACCGACACTGGGTATGTAAAGTACTCTTTCGGCCACAACAAAACCCACGTAGAAGAATAAGTTGGACGCTGGCAAATAAGAAGCGACGGCAATAGCCAAAGCCACAGCAACGGGTTTCCGTTTGAACGCCACCCATCCGATAGACACCAAAGCGACGTAGAATAGCAGTGTGGCTACGTTTCTTGGGTCCGAAAGAGTTTCGATTCGAGGAACAGCGTCCATGGACCAATCGTAACTCAGCACCCGCGGAAAGAGCAGAAGAAGAGTGTTGACCAGTGGAAGGTACAGAAAAGTCAACGTCCGCGCCAAAAGATTGGGATGCTTAGCCGTTGGGTTATCGGATGTTGCAAATGTAGGCACTGTGCCGGACATGATACACATTCTTCCAACGACCATCAGGGCGGTACACGTAACTAAGATTTTCAGTGTTGATTTGTCTCGTTCGATCTAAATTTAAAAAAAATAAACAATCAAAGTGAGTGAAAATTTACATCAATTTTAATTATTTTTACAATTCATTGTCAATCAAGAGAAATTGCAGTTGTTTTTAATCATCCAGTCATATAATTGACCTAACTTTTATTATTTTATTTCTATAGTACCGTTTTAAAACAGCTTAGAAGATATGAGTTTCATCAATTATTTTTCCGAGCAATTTCAACGTGACTTAACCTAATTTAGCATTGTTCAGGACTAATAAGAATTTTAGTAGTATTTCAGATTAGATTTTCTCAATTAAACTCATAACTCATTCATTTGAAATTGAACAAACGTATTATTTTCACAACTAACGGCTCAAGCGATCGTTTTTGTTTCCATAAAGTTTTCAATTGAATTACCCTTCTTTCTCCAAAAGTCCAGAAATTAAATGTATTGTATGAAATATTCCAAGAAGTCGTTTGTCCTGGTTGTTTTTAAATATCTCAAAACGTACAATAACTTAATGATGTATTCAAACTTGACAATAAAAATATGTTCGCTACATTCTGTGATATAATTGCGTGGATTTTTTGTATAAAATATACAACGTAAATTATAATGACTGAATTTTGACACAAAAACGTACTAAATGTTAAATTCATAATAAAGTAAAAACGTTAAATACAATCTGAAGTAATTACTATTGTTCTTTAGTTTTTTTTTTTATTACTTTCATAATATGTTGAACTTGAGGGGGTTCGGCGTCGTTTAGCGCTTTGTTCGCATTGACAGCGACACGTGTTTAATTTCACACTCAAGTCGTATGTATTATCTAATACTGTTTTGAGTGCACTTACCGTTATTACTTCCATTACAGTCGTTTTTAATGTATATCCTTTAAAGATGACTCTAATTCATCTCGAGAAACATCATAATCTTTATGACGTATAGCCAAAGTCATTATGAAAATGTATTGTAGACGAATACATCAGTTTAATAAAGATTAAGAACTTTTCAATTTTGTCAATAAAATGTAATAGAAAAAATTGTTTCTTAACAATTTAAATTAATTTGCTTAAGTCATTATCATAAATAAATCAAATTTAATATTTTCGTAATGTATTAAATAATTTTAATTAAAAATAAAATTGTTTATGAGCAATCTTAAAAAATAAAAAAACCTTAATTTTAAGAATACTCCGAAAAAAATATAAAAATTATTAGTTTGTTAAATCATGAATCAAAATTGTACGACTAAGCTAAATATAAAAATGAGTTAAATTATATGCTATCGATGGTATTAAATTGATTTTTATTATGCCATTTAATTTTGATTTCAGACATTTAACAAAAAAAAGGTAGTATGCACACGAAGTGAAAATGTATTCAAGTCGCTGTGGCAAAGCTCTTTTTAGTAAAAAATATCAAGAATAATCTAGAAATTCATCCAGGACGTAGACGTATTTAATAAAATATCACGAAAAACAAAATATGCATGTATATATATATATATTCAAAGAATACGAGGGAGAATATGAAAGACTCACGGCTTTATATCCGGAATTATTAAAATGACATTCTCTTGGGAACACACAAGCAGTATGGTCAAAGACGTTTTTATAAAGCAAAGTATTTGCAATTTTATAAAGAGTGTCTCTCGAGGCTTTATTAATTGAAATAACGCTTTTGAATGTAACTTAGGATATTTTTTTTTATTAGTTTACAGAACACTACTCATTTTTATAAATACTTTATGATAACGATAGAAAAATGTTTCCAGGTATTAAGAAAAAATATGAAAAATAAACTATTAAAATCGATAAATTTTTTGTAATAAGAAATTATAATTCGCTGACAACTAAGTAACTATGGAAAAAATTGTGTTTATATTTTAATTAATGAAATGGATTAAATAAATTTAATACAAAATATCAAGGCCAACATAAAAGGTGTGTGAAGTGTTTACAAAAGAAATAATTTACTAGAATAAAAATATTATTATTTTAATAAAAAAATGTTATAAATATCGCAAAATTATTTTGCACGAGGACACTCGATTTCTAGTGTTGGAATTTACCTTGCATTTATTAATTAAATTATGAAATATTTGTTAAATATCTTGTACAAGTGTATTATATGTTTCAATATATTTTTCTATGTATGTATCATATTGCTTACCTAGATTTAAAGTAATCAGCTTGTATTACAGGGACAAATGTAATAAAATCTAGTTTTAGTTCACAAAAAATCAACGAAAAGTCTCTAGAAATTCTCAAATATTTCATATTGATTGTTCTGTTATACATTTACAATATTTATTTTTACTAAAGAAATGAAACTATTTACGGCTTACATTATAAAATTCTTTTTCAGTGTTCACATTAAAAACTATGAATTTCATCGCTTTAGAATAAATCAGTAATAACGATTTTTTTTATTATTTCAAGAGAAAACTTTTAAGTAAAAAAATATTTTCTTGTTATAATTTTTTTAAATGTTTCATTATTTAAACTGAAAAAAAAATGTAAGAAGTTGCGAATTTGCAAAAAAAAATGTTGAAAAGCCATACAAATATAGATATTATGAAGCCATAGGAATACAAAAACATGAAGAAGCCATATAAATATAAAAATATTATGAAGCCATAGGAATGCAAAAACATGAAGAAGCCATATAAATATAAAAATATTATGAAGCCATAGGAATACAAAAATATGAAGAAGCCATATAAACATAAAAATATTATGAAGCCATAGGAATACAAAAATATGAAGAAGCCATATAAACATAAAAATATTATGAAGCCATAGGAAT